CTCATATGTGGAATAAAATGAACAAAATAAACTGATAAACAAAGCAGATCCAGAGACACTGAGACATGCAACCAGATGACATATTTCAGAGGGGGGCAGGGGCGTTAACCTAAGAACTTATATGCATATTCCATGGACAGATAATAATGTGGGGAAGGCCTGGGGAAGGGTCAACGGAGGGGAAAAAATGGAAAGACATCTGTAATATTTTCAACAATAAATTCTTTTTAAAAAGCTGTTGTAGCCCAGCCAGTGTGGGTCAGTTGTTGAGCATCGACCTGTGAGTCAGGGGGTCACAATTCAATTCCTGGTCAGGGCACATGTCTGGGTTGCAGGCTCTATTCCTAATGTGGGGCATGCAGGAGGCAGCAGATCAATGACTCTCATCATTGATGTTTCTATCTTTCTCTTCCCTCCCTTCCTCTCTGAAATCAGTAAAAATATATTTATTTTTTAAAAAGCTGCTGTACATTTGCACAATGGAATACTATGTGGCTGTAAAAAGGAAGGATTTCTTATCCTTTGCAGCAGCATGGATGGACCTGGAGATTACTATGCTAAGTGAATTAAGCCAGTCTGAGAAAGACAAATATTACATGATCTCACTTATATGTGGAATCTAATGAACAAAATGAATGGACAAACAAAACATACTTACAGACCTCAGAGAGAAGGGAGAGGGGGAGAAGGTGGGTGGCAAGAGATTAACCAAACATATGCATAACCCATGGACACAGACAAATGTGTGGTAAAGGCCTAAGGTGAAGTGGGGGTGGGGTCTGGGTGGAAGGGGACAAATGGGGGAAGACAGGAGACATATGTAATACTGTCAACAATAAAAATAAATTTTAAAAAAGAAAGAAAATTCTAAGCCCCAATGGCTTCACTGACAAATTCCATCAAACATATAAGAAAGAAAAAAGTATCAATCCTACACAAACTCTTTAAGAAAATACAGGAGGAGTGAATACTTCCCAAATTAACAACACTTTGTTATTGTTATTGTTAATACTTACCCAAGGATATTTTTCCATTGATTTTTGGAGAGAGTGTAAGGGAAGGGGGGAGACAGAGAGAGAGAAACATCGATGTGAGAGAGACACATCGATTGGTTGCCTCCTGTATGTGCTCCTCGCCGGGGCAAGAGGATTGAGCCTGCAACTGAGGTACTTGCCCTTGACCAGAATCGAACCTGTGACCCTTCAGTCCAAGGGCTGACACTCTATCCACTAAGCCAAACCAGTTAGGGCTTAACAACATTCTTAATGGTGAAAGACTGAATATTTTCCTCTTAAGATCAGAAACAAGGCAAGAATGTCCACTCTACCCCTTCTATTCAACACTGTACTAGATATTCTAACCAGTGCAATAAGGTCAAAAGAGAAAAGGCATCCAAGTTGGAAAGGTAAAAGCAAAACTGTCTTTATTCTCAGATTACAAGATCTTCTACATAGAAAATTCCATGAAATCTATAAAAAAAACAACTAGAAGTAACAAGTAATTTTCAGAATATAAAATCAATAAATGTCATAGTAACAAACTGAATTTTTTTAAAAAAATACCATTTACAATAGCATAAAAATATGAATTATTTAGAAAAAAATTTGATAAAAGATATGTATCTGTATACTGAAAACTATAAAACATTACTGAGAAAAATTAATGAAGACCTAAATAAATGGAGTGATATACCACGTTCATGGAACAGAAGACTCAAAGTTGTTAAAATGTCAATTCTCTCTAAAATAAATCTCTAGATTCAATAAAGCTCCAATCAAAATCTCAGAAATATTTTTGTAGAAATTGACAAGCTGATTCTAAAATGTATACAGAAATGCTAAGGATCTAGAATATTAAAAACAACAATTAAAGAAGGAATCACACCATTTAATTTCAACTTATAAAGCTACTAGAGACCCGGTGCACGAAATTCGCCTGCCTACCTGCCTGATCGCCCCTAACCACTCTGCCTGCCTGCCTGATGCCCCTAATTGCTCGCCTGCCTGATCGCCCCTAACTGCTCGTCTGCCTGCTATTGCCCCTACGGCGACATCTAGAAGGACATCCGGAAGATCAAGATCGTTTGGCTCTCTGATCTAATTAGCATATTATGTTTTTATTATTATAGATTGTATTATTTTCCATATGAACAACTGTAAACCTTCATTTGCCCCCGCCCTGTATATATCTGGGAAGACAAAACAATATATCTCTTTGTG